AATAAAATGACGATTTAAGGTTACTCGAAAACTACGAACCACATGTTACCCTAACCGTTTATCGTTATCTCTGCACACCTGTACACATGCACGCATATACATACGTTTACACATGAACAAATATTTACACATACATGTACAATTTTACATACACATGTACACACATTTACATACAAAAACATGTATGCACATTTTTATGTATACATGTGCACATATTTACGAAATTTTACATCTACACCTATGTAGCAAGACAGCTTTTCTGAGGCCTAGGGGATTCAATGCCTTATTTCGCGCTCCATCACCAAGACTTTACGCCGAACTCCCTCTCGTAGCCGAGGAAATGAACTCTAACCACCACCTCGCCACGACCAACTATCGTCTTCAAGGCAGACTTCGCTTCCCGCCATCATTTGTTTATTATATTTGTTCTTTTTTCATAGAAATGTTTTATTTTATTTTCAAGATATTTTAAAATAAACTTTGATGATGATATACAAAGAAAATCAAAGTAACCGCAAACAGAATGAGCTGCTGAGCTCCTCAGACGGTTGGCTCGGAGCTCGTGACCTTACAACAACAAACAAACAATAAGTATTAATTTTTAAGTATTTTATATTTAATGCTTTTTACATTTTTGTGTGTGTTTTTCGTGTTTTTTTTGTGTGTGGTTTCATAGTGAATAAAACCAATTTCTCTCGAATGCTGTGTTTCCCAACACCAAACTAAATGTGTGTGTGTGTGTATATATATATATATATATATATATATTATATATATATATATTATATTATATATATATATGTATGTAAGTATGTATATACATACATATATATATATATATATATATATATATATAATATATATAATATATAATGTATATAAATAATGTATATAAATTTTATCATTATTATTATTTTAATTACTTTGGCGCTACTATAGATGACTAATTGCTCGGCCTAAAATGAAATATGACCTGCAAATTAAGGGGACTGTCCTTAAAAATTGGGGGGTAGTGGGTAAATAGGGGGTGATGGGGTAAAATATATATTAACAAAAAGATATTTTACAGATTTTCTTAAAGTATGAATATATGTATTTTATAATTCTGTACATTTGGTACTAAATTTGTATGAATCCCGCAAAGGGTGGTGATACACCCTCAGAAAACTTTTTTTTCCAATTTTTTTTCTACATGCCACTTGTGTACCGATATTGGCTTACACTGTTGCATACTTTACATGGAGAAAATATGCATAATCATTGATAAAATCCAAAGAGATTGACGCAGGCCTTTTTCAAAATTTGCCTTAGTTCTTAAAAAAAGTCCCAAAAATTCAAGATTTTCTTTTTTTCGGATAAAAATAAAAACGGCATCGAAATTTTAAAATGTCAATCTCTGTTCACTTTCATTAGCTTTCAAATGATGCCAACAGAATTTAAATATAGATATGAATACTCGTGAATAGCAGTATGGGAGATCATTTTTTTTTTTTTTTTTTTTTTTTTACTGCAAAGAAAATATTGATAATTTTCTGTTAATTTCCTTTAATCAGTCTTTCTCGTGTAATTACCAGAGAAACCACATTCATTTCCCTTCCAAATACTGCTTGTTGCATGAAGATAAGGAGAATGGTTCCCCAAGTTATAACAAATTTAGTAAAGTTATCCTTACTAAAAGTGGGAAAATACTATTTTTTGGAATATGCCCTCGTGCAGTAACAATGATACTGGGAGTAATAAACCGTGTTCAATTTCGGCGGATTTCCATTAGCTTTCTAATGACAAAATCCTTTTGTTTGAGAACAGTGGTACAAAAAATTGTGAATATTTCTGTTAATTTTCTGAATCCTTCCTTCATTGAAAATTTATAATCTAGTTAATTATAAAACTACAAACATTTCTCTTTCAAATACCAATTGTTGCATGAAGAAGTCTTGATTGGTTCCGGTGTTACAACAACAAATAAAATGGTACCTCTGTATACGCTAATATCAGCAGCATGACGTATGTATAAATGCAGTTATTGTTTGTCTCATGCTACTTGTATTTATGTTTTCTTGCATCTACGTGTGATTACATTTGCATACATGTCTATCTAGGTGTAAGGTTCACCACCAAGATTCCTTTGGTTGTTATTGAGTTTTTAAAAAGTTTTTTTTTTCCTTTTCTGTGTTTCCTTATACAAACAGGGTTCCTGTAATAGTTATCATATGTTCTACTGCAGATTGATACTAAACTGTGTTCACAAATATTTTCTTAATCACAAGCAGAAAAGACTAATCCATAGGTGAATGCCTCAACAGATAATGGACCTACGAGATGAAGGAGAGGAAGACTGTGTGCGCCCAGAACCATCTCCAAGGTAAAATGGGAGCACCGAGTGAGGTCACGCCAAGTCGAAGTTTTTAAGCCTTTCCTCTCGTAATGGACCTCGCATGACCCCAACACGTCCGCCTGGAACAAACTCGATATGTCAGTGGCACAGGAATAAAAGATATGCAATTCTGTCTATCATCCATGTAGGTAGTTTAAGTTTGAGGGTTTCTCTTAGCTCGCGATCTCTTTAACAATGATATAATACGACTGTTATAGGCACATTATTCAAGTGAAAATACTGGAGGCTAAATGTGTAAATATAATTAAATAAGGTGAGCTGGCGTAGGTTTACTAATTTCTTCGATCTACAAATAGGTATATTTCTTCAATTGTGTGTTATGAAAAGTTGGGGTCCTATTCTCTCGCAGCAACAGAAAGGGTCGAACTCCCGAACTATGAACACTGAACATAGTACGATGTAATTCCATCTGCAATGGCAATATAATATTTCCATCGATATAATCGTGAAAAGAGTCGAGGAAGAAATGTACACATGAAAGCACAACTCTGGCATACCAAATCGGGTGACACATACCTGCGAATAATACGTGAGATCCGAGTCGTGGTGAGCTGGTGTCAGCAAGGTCGCGAGCGCACGCTTGTAATTGAGCGACGCGGCTCCTTCATGGGCGTGGTGCAAGAGAGACGACACGCGGCCAGCCGCTCCTTTCACGACGACGGCTCTCCCGGACCCTGGGCCGGAAACCTGGTGGGAGAAGTGCTACCCATTGATAAGTACATACCGCTAATAAAATCTTACTTTGTAGTTGCGAATTGCATATTGTCTGGCTGCTACTAGAGGTCGGAGAAAGTAATATTTTCCTTGACATATTAGTCCCATACTAAGTAAAATCCTATCAATATACCTGCTAGATTTTTATCTATTCATTGAAACATTTTTGGTTGTCATTTGATGATTGCTTGGGGGGTAATAATGTGATGTATGGTTGCTGTCCAAAGATCACCCTGCTGTCACTTCCGAGAGACCATAACTCCCAAGGGGTTCATGAAATACTTTCTGGGAGGCCATGGAACAAAATGAAAATTCTGACCTAAATTTAAACTGGACTTTGTCTGACCTATAATACCAATAGATAATTATCTCTCACATAGAAACAAATCATAAATTGTACTTGTCTTATAGTTTTTGGCTCTAGTAATATAAATTCAATAATAAAAGATGACAGACACCGAACAGGGTCATGAAGAATATCACATATAGGTCAGGGGCCACACATTGGAAAAGGTTGGGAACCATTGCTCTAGATCATTCGGTCTTCACCCCAACCTTGCAAAAGATCAACGTTCAAATGAGCTCGATTGTGCACGGAATCTCCTTTGGAAATGAACAGGAGCAGCAGACGAGAGCCTCACCAGCGGCGCTTCGGTGTTCTCGGCATCCTTGGTGGTTAGGAGGACTAGCGTGTCCTGGTTGTACCGCGTCGCCTCCACGGCCCCGGTTCCCACGTAGGCTTCCGACCCTTCCACCAGCACCTCCACCCGATGCTTGAAGACGGCTGAGCGACCCGTCTCCACTACCACTACAAGCCAGATATAAGGATAAGTTATATGCGAAACTGAACCTCGCCCGGGCTATGGGGGAGCCCGGCCTGTGCCGACTAATGTCGACTCGATCACCGTGTGTCAGCGAGTGCTGACGCTACAGAGCTTACTCCTTACCCACCGTGATGCCCAGCCACAGCAGTACCTCCTTGCGACAATTGCAACATCTCGCGCCTGGGCGGGGCGTGAACCACCGAACCCTCGGATAAAAGGCCGACACGTTACCACTGTACTAGGCTGGAGGCAGGCCAAAAATCAGGTAATTCATTTCGGAAAAGAAGCTCCCCTTTGGAGGGGGTGGGGTCTTCGACCATGGCAATGGGAACGGACATACTCACATTCTTATATTTATATCTACCTATCTATGTATTAAAGTATACATATGTATGTACATATAAATATATATATATATATATATTATATATATACATATATATATTATATATATATATATATATATAAATATATATATATAATATATATATGTATGTATAATATTATATAATACATATATATATATTATATATATATATATATAATATAATATATATATATGCATACATACATATATATATACATATATATTGTCTGATCTAAAATACCAATTCATAATTATCTCTCAATAATTGTATATATATATATATATATATATATATATATATAATAATATATATAATATAATATAATTTATATATATGTATATATATAAATTTATATATATATGTATATATATATAATATATATATAATATATATATAATATATATATTATATATATATATATATGTATGTATGTATATGTATACACGCAAATATACAAGCACACCCTCACGCACAACACGCACGCAAACACACACACACACACACCCATATATGTGTGTATATATATATATATATAATATATAATATATATATATATATATATATATATATAATATATAGTATTATCTGTATATATATATATATATATATAAAATATATGTTATATATATATATATGTATATATATATATATATATATATATATATATATAATATAATATATAATATATATATATGTGTG